AAAGCTTTGAAGAGTAATGCAGTACTGACATCTATTTGACTTTGTCTAACCTGAAACTTTTAAATCCAATATTTGGCTACAGAATGCTTACAAATTTTAGTAGAGGAGTGTCCCAAAGAATACAGTTGTAAATATGCTACCATGAGCTATAGTGTTGCTATAGACAAGGAGCCTGAAGGGAGTAGCCTTTCACATTTCTCTGGCCACTCACTTCAGAATACCTGCTGGTGTCCTTCCCAAGGTATGACTCACAGGTTTCCACCTGGTGGTTTGGAATGAGCAAGGGAAGGAAGCAAGCACCTGATATCATTGCTCCTGCAGGTGCACGGAGCCCTGGAACCCCTTGCAGAAAGGTGTACTATTTACTACACCCTGCAAAGGGAGCACGCTTCATGTAGTTAAGCCACAGGTTGAGCGAGAAGCAGCATGTTGCTGTTATGGTTTAGTCAATTAAATTGTCCTCTGTGCTCGCAGGAACTGTTCCACATTTATTACCAGTGAGATACACGCTCTGGCAGTTTCTTTGCTTTGGATTGTCTTATATTTAGCACATCTGAAGATTTGAGAACAAATGATGGAAGACATGATGATAAATTGTCAGGCTTTTCTGAAGATTCAGAAGTTCTAAAGTTCCTGCCAGTGACAGATGGTCTGTCCTTACTCATCACTTGTCTTCCTGACAGTGCTTGATTTTTTTCTCCCTTTTTGTGCTCAATTCCCTTAAAGTAAGCTCAGTTTCTCGGGAGGTGGGTAGTCAGTTTGTGTAACTACGTTACTATATATCGATGTGGTACCAATTCTGTGACCATGCACCACACTCCATGTACATTACTAGAGCACACACATATAATAAGAGAGAAGATGGGATGAGAGAGGGAGAAACACATTACCAAGGAAAACCCATACTTCCTTTCTTTCTCTTGTTTTGATAACCAAACACACTAGAGTTTTTACTGGAGAGTATTTTCTCTTACTGACTTGTTACTTTCTTTCGATAGCCCGAGCATAATGTGATCTTTTGGGCAGTGTTTCTTATTATGAAAAATACATATATTAGGACCATCAATATTTCATAGAAACCTAAATTTCTTTTTGAAATTTCTTTTGAAACTAAAAAGTACAATTATTGTTTACTATCTTGCTAGTCATTTATAAGAATCCACAGAATGAGACCCAACAACTATAACAATGAGGTGCTTAGATATAAAATAGTTATCACTGAAAAAAAGGAAAATTTCTAATTGCTTAATCCCATTCTTTGGCTCCGAATGTGTTTACTGCTGAAATAGGAGATGTCTGACTTAGTAAGGAAGATGAGGAAAGGAAACAATTTCCCCTTTTTGAGTTCTAACATAACTGTGGAAGTAAATACATGGTTTAAAAAATTTGGGGGTGTTTTACAATCACTTCTTAATCCTTTATCCAGAAGTAATTTAATTCTTCAAGTTAGTAATACCACAGTTATATATTATAGCATTACTTAGGCTGATGTGTATCAAGTGCAAAGGGATTAAAATTACTAAAACATATAAAAATGATCAGATGAATTGATTTGGCATTTACCATAGTTGGCCTTTGTTATCTATACAAGTAGCTGAGAATTCCTTGTTTATGTAAATAAGTCTCTCATGAATGTTCATTATATTAGTTCAATAAGATAAGATGTGAAAAGAATAAACATTTTGCCCTTTCATATTTTCTCTTTTAACTCTAATGTAATTTTACATCTCTGATAGATATATATATATATATGTGTGTGTGTGTGTGTGTGTGTGTGTATTTGTATTTATATAATATATAACCAGTAGTACATTTTATATACAGCGGGTGCCAAAAAAATGTATGCACATTCTAAGCATGGAAAAAAACTGTATTAAAATTGTAATACAATGAAAGAAGCTAGCATTCATTTGATTATATATATATATTATATATATTATATATATAATATGTATTATATATAATATATATAAAATCTCAAATGCACTCCTATACCTATATTAGTCATTTAAGTGAAAGAACTCAAAACCTACTGGGTTTCCAAGGTGTAAGCTATTGAACTTCCTGTCATCTTTTTATGACCTTCACTAAATGCTCCTTTCATTACAGATACCAGTTACCTTTTTAATTAGTGGCTTTTTCACATTGCTCACTTTTGGTAACATTCAATTATAAAAAATCAGAAAACTCATGTCAACTCATTATGCATAAAGGTGTTAACCTAGACCTAAGGAAATTATATTTCTCTTTTAGTGAACTGTTTCTTAGATAATGAATAGAAGCATTACATTTCTGTATACAACATAGCAATAAAAAACCTTCAGAGCTTCTTATAACATAGTGTCAGACTCACATGTGGATGTTAGTTAAGTATACATGTATATTTTGGTATATAATTAAAGGGATTTGAGATCTAACTTTCATTTTAAGTACCTTTATACTCTACTTTGCCTTCTTTTCCCAAAGAAAAATGGACTTGGAAAAAAAGTCCTGAATCTTCAGTATTCATGAAAAGGCCAACATATATTTCATGGGTTTTTCAATCACGCCTTTATAAATTCACATCATTTATAATTGCTTTAAGAGTATGTTTATTGAAATTTATTAAGCTGAGAAAATGCATATCTGCGATGAATAGAAAGAATTGCATTAGGTAAGATAGGCTAAATTATTCTAAAAAGTACGCCCAAAATACAATAATGCTTCAACAGAACAGAGGGTTATTTCAGGGTTAGTGCAATACCACATCAGGGAGTAGTGGAGTGGGGTCTGTTCCATGAACTTGAGCTATTGTGATAAGTGATTTATTTCTTTACTGCAGTAATGTGCTAATAATTTTTTCCTTGTTTCAAATTTATACTGGTAGATGTCTCATAATTTAGTACTCATGAGCAAAACCAAAGACAAAAGTGAGAGGTTATTTCTTTGCCCACCTTCAGAAAAGAATGGTGGTAGAGTGAGTAGAATCACAGCCTTTGATGAGATACTTGCATTTCTCTCTTACTAAAACAAAAGATTGAACCTGCACGTTTATTTCCAGACAGTGTGAAAGATGAGTAACTTTTCTGGTCCAGACAAGTTATCAATCAGTTTCAATTGTAACTCTTACTTTCTACTTATTTCATAAATGCTGTTGTATAAGACAACTTTTCATTTAAATTCTACAAATTAATTCAGAGCTCTTCTAGCCTGAATTTTGCTTAATCTGGTCACATGGTACAGATTATCTAAATGGAAAAAATTTTAACTAAATTGAGTCATCTCTTCCCTCAACTACTAATATTGTTTCACAAGTATTTTCAGTCTGTATCTTGGCTGTCACTTCTCTCATCTCTGAATTCTTCCTATTTTCATATTAGTCATTTTTTCCCCATCTATAACTGATATCTCTCCATTTTACCCAGAGAACTACTTTTGTTATATTTGAGTCTTTGGTTTATATTCCTTTAATTTCTTATGAAATTCCCATTTATTTTCTAATGTTTATTGCTAATAAATTACTGATGATTGTCACTAAGACAGCTAAAGAAAAAGAATCATAATATTGGAAATAAGGGCTGCAATTACTGGTATAGCGATTTTATCTTTTTAGCTAAAATTGAAAACTGCCTGCCATAGGTCATATTTTCTACATTATGTTACATGTGTAAGTAAGGTATGTGTATATTTCCAAAAAATCATAATAATGATATAATTTAGAATAGATAAGATAGCCTCACTTCTATGATAGTATATTAGCTGTACACCTTAGGAAGATCATAGGGACCAATATGATGTATATTGAAATCATGTAAAATTTATACCAAAATTAAAAAACAAACCAAAGATTTTACAAATAATTGTATACATTGAGAAAGCATTGGCTCACATAAGAAAAATATTTCCAATTGTATTTCTTGTGATTCACTACTTCTTTTGGTAGGTATCTCAGGAGAACAAAGAATAATCACCAAAATGCAACTCACACTTTATGACAATTCCTTGCTATTTATTAGAAAGCATCTTCATTTAAAACCCAATCTTTGGGTATTGTTGCTGAAAGTAACAAAATAATCTCTTAAAAAAACAGTCTCACCTATTATCTGCCTATGTGTCCCATGACATGAATCATTCAGAATATATTTTAGAATCTGTATGATGAGATTGGGTAAAATGGAAACTTTCATACAAAAGCTACCTTTATTACACACACACACACACACACACACACACACACACACACACACACACACACACATACATATATATGTGCGGCTTACTTTTTTGGCCCAAGCCAAGGATCATTTGGAATCAATTCATCCAAAGTTAGTCAGCCAAGATTGTTACATATATATTGTTTGCTTTTCCTTTTGCATAAGTTTTATTTCTTTTATTGTTACTAGCAATTTGGAAGCTATTGAAATTACCCACCCATAACTTAATGTTAATATAATGTTTATTGCTTTTAGTCTTTACATTCAGATAATTTAACAAATAGATCTCCTTAGAATACACACCCACAAAGCTTTCAGAATACAGAGCAGTTTACATTTTCAAATGATAGCAAGTATATACAAAGATAAGTATCAGAAGATAAGAATGTTAGGTTACAGCCAGATTGGGGATGGATGTGTGCCTAGGTATTTATTAGGTGGATAATAGAAAGCCATCAAAGTTTATTTGGAATAGGAAATGCAATTTGAACTCCACACTCAGTTAAGTTAGTATACATTATTATTATATTGTTTTAGTTGAAAACTATGTTTTTCTAGGTTTTTCATCAATTATATTTTCATACTTAATTAGCAAGTCTAAAATGCCTCTACACATCAAACACAAATGCTTGCTTCTTCAGTGTTTGCTAATGGTTTTCTAACTTCAAGTGAATAACAAAGACCTTTTTTAACATGTGATTCTTTTTTTTTGTTTTGTCATTTGCAAAGTATATCCATTTAGTTTGGTTTGTTTTCCATGATTAATGCTGACTGATAGCTGTTTTTCTTTTTTTTTTCCTACTCTAGGTTGTGGAGACTAATTTGGTTGCTTTTGATTGTCACTGGATCATTATAAATGAGGTAAAGCCAACTAAACCTTATTGTCTACTCTAGGTCCTGTTTTCATATGTATAGTCACACCATTTCCTTTGGCCTTGGGTTTCTAAGAGGAAACGGAACACAAAGTAAATGTTCTGCTTACTGAGTGGACGCTGTTAAATAAAAATAGAATAAGGAGGGTTTTTTTTTAATTATAAAGGGCTTTGTATGAATAAAATAAATGGAGAACGTCTTCCCCACTGAGTATCTTTTAGCCTTTTCCGTTGGAACACATTGCCTCCTCCTAGAGATGATCTTTATAAAAAGCACAGTTCTTCTTTGTAAGCAAAGTGAATTCTTCCCAGCAGAGTGCTTGTGTTCCATTTATATTTTAATGTTGTTTCTAGAACTTTTTATATCCACCCCCCCCCTTAAGGAGTTCAGCATATGAATATGAATAAACAAGTACAGATTTTTTTTTTCTTTTCATAAAGGAATACAACTGTTTAAAATCCATCAACTTGTCAAATTCCTGGTGAACGTTTTTTTTTTTTTGGACTTTTGTAAAGACAATAGTAAGATTAAAAATACATTACAATATGAGAGCCTTGTGAGATAAGATTTCCCTTAGCACCTGCCGGTCAGAAACGGAAAGGAGAATGAGCAAATCAGTCATGGACAGATAAGGAGATCACGGTACCTAAAAAACCTAGTATTCAATCATATCTATTACTTATGAATAAAATAATGTATCATTTATCAATAGATACTAAATATTGAATTATAGAATGGTGAGTTTTGCTTCAAGGAAAAAATAACATTTGGGGTAAAAATTCTGGTTTTATAGTCAGCAAGGTAGGTTCAACACTGGCTATAAAATTGGTTAATTGTATTATATTATATATATAATATAGTAATCCCATTCCTCAGATTTTTCCTTTTTACAGTAACATTTTTGTTTTACAAGATCATAATAAAAATTAAGTGAGATATCATCTAATACTGTTAACACAGTGCTTGACAAGTGACACTATATAAATAGTACTGCAGTAATGATCATGGTGCATTAAAGTTCAAAGGTCACTTTCTCACACATTATTTTGTTGAGTGCTAAACATCAGTTTATGAGGTACTGGGGGAAGGAGGTTCATAGAGGGTAAATGATTTGCCTCTCTTTACATTGAAAAATGAAAATGATTCCAAGTTTCAAGTTGTTTTTTCCTATACCAAGCGTCATTGATGGGATGACACTTTTTAGCTCAGTGAAAAGACACTGGAAACAGCTTGCAAGCCTGTTTGTGGTCAGCCAGCCTTTAGTTCTGCATGATTTGTCATTGTATTTCTTACTTCAAATCAAGATGTATTTTTCTGAGATCTCCACAGGTGAAGTGTATGTGTGAGATCTGCTTTTCAGTGAAGTTTTGAGACTTTCTAATTTTTCTGATACCTCTGAATTTCCATCTGGAATGACTAAACCCCAGGATAGAGGGAAGGGAAGGGGGAACTTAGCAAACTTTCAGGATAACATTTCAAATTAGAAATTTTTTATTTTCCTGCATGGAGTCTGAGGTTCAAAGAAATTAAACAGTTTGCCCAATATCACACAACTTTTATGTGGTGATAATGGGATTTAAAAGAGTCTTTTTCAATCTAAAGCTTTGGTTGTTTTTGCTTTGTATTCTTTTTTTATTTTTTTAAATAATTCTCCTTATAGATTATATTTTTAAAATTTCTGCCACCTCACCTTTATCTTATGGGAGCCATTTATCCTGTTTGGTTTTGTCTTTAGTTTATTTTCTAGAATAACTATTTTTTGAAATAGAGAATTCTAATTCCTTTTTCTTGTATCACACCCACCTTCTGATGGGGAATAGATAACACTGTTTTCTGAAGTAAAACAAGTTGGAGTCATTTTACTTGTTTGTGTCAATAGAGTTGGCAAGGAAAAGAAAAAGTGATTAATTTCCTACTTAGATACATGGATTAATCAAACCAATTGATGCTTATAATAGTTAAATTGAAATGCCCATTCCATTCTGTCCTTTGGTAAGTTTGCAAAAGGGGCCCCTGAATTAATTATTTTTCCATTACCAATTGAACTTCTAAAACTACACCTGAATTTTAAAAGTGTGAACCACGGGCCGTCTGAGTGGCACGTTGGTTAAGAGCTGGCTTGGGACACCAGCTCTGAGCAGCAGGGCCTCAGTTTGGATCCCACTTGGGGCCAGTGACACTGCCCTCTACAGCTAAGACGGTGAACAACAGCTCGACCTGGAGCTCGGCTGCTATGAGTCACTGGTGACAGCATAGGCTGCAGCCCCTGCTGCAGTGGGCTGCCATAAGCTACCATGTGTGGCCGGCAGCCAGCGTGAGCAGCCGGCAGCCGGTGTGAGCTGCCAAGAGCCACCGTGAATGGCTGTCCAGAGGCCGGTGACTGATCTGCCTCACCCGGCAAGAGCGCAATGATAATACCAATTTGGGCCAGTGAAGCAACGTCCTCCACAACTAGACTGAAGAACAAAAGGACAGCAACTTGTCTGTTCCCCTTTCCCCAATTCCTAGCGCTGTTCCCCTCCCCCAATTCCCCAATAAAATCTTTAAAAAAAAGTGTGAACCACATAGAGCTCCTCAGAGCACGAGTGATCATCTACCTACAGCTTAAGTGTCAATTTGTGCTGTAGAAGAAATTGTTCCTGCGTGTTATGTAGAGGGGGTCTGACTGAGTGGACTAGCCTGTATTTCATTGGTGATGAATATTGTGAAAAAAATAATAGCAGTTTCGATTTTACTATATTTTCATAAATGTTAAGACTCATTTTGTTGAACTTACTACATTTTATTTCATAAAATATTAGGAGGGCAAATGCTGTTATTAAATGGGTGTTCCATAGTTTGGGCCACTATTTTACAAATAAAACATCGACACAAACAAAGCAATCTAAGCAATAAATAACTCAATAAATTCTAGAAGTATAGAAGATAGATTAGAAGACCTCAATTTTTTTCTCCTTTACATTTATGTTTTTTACTGTAAGACATCATAACTATTTATAACTTCCCTTTATCATTACTGAAACCCTTATCTCTTTTTTACTCATAACCCTTTTTACTAGTCCTTGAATAGAGGTTTCATTTTGGGGGAGCAGGTTAGTACCACCTAGTTTTGGAAAAACCTGATGTTCATAGCCCACTCTGTATGTATTGATTATTTTTTTTATCTAAACTAGGTTAAGACTCAGATATCAGCATATTTTCTGTATTTTTACCCCTAAAAAAAAAATGGTCAGTATATCTGTAGTCAGGACTCTTACTTCCACATAATTCTGTTTAGCCACCTTGTGCTCTTTCAAATGTGCCTCAGAAAACTTGACTGTCACTACCTTCACTTCATTTACAGGCTTGTGTACATAAATTTATAATGGATGAATCATAATTTACCCTGGTTTCCATAAAAGAAGAAACATGGATTTCTCAAATTTTCTAGGAAGCTAATAAACTCTAAAAGTAACAACAGAAAAAACAAACAAACAAAAAAACACAACAAATGACCATTTTGACTGAACATGGAAAACATGAATCTGCTTAGTTTGGTTTGTGTAGCTACTATTTTATTGCTAATTTCAAACATGTATTTAATCTTACTGCATCAATAATTTTTTGAGAGAGAGACTATAAATCAAAGTTGGCATTGTGCATTGTGATACAAATTGATGGAGAAAGTTGAAAACAATATATTTTTTTTCATTTGCACTACGTGTGCTATAATAATGAGAGGCTGCTCTAGCTCATATGGTGTAATCAATCATATGTTAGTAGTTTGGTAATGATATTTATCTTCATCCTACAATTGGTGGCTCCAGCTTAGAAGAGCCTTTCCATGTAAGTATTGTCATTCCTTCAGGGTCCCGAAGCAGATATCCTAGCATGTTATTTAAGGTTTACAAAAGTTAGAAATTCAGATGGGAAGATACATACTTTTTAGAACTGCAAGACGTGCAATGCTGTATGCCCCTTTTATTCCCTGATGATACTGAACCTGACCTTTCGTGTCCTGACTTCTTATTTAAATACAATAGTTTCAGTCATTTTTTTCCGTTAATCACTACTGAGTCTTGCAGTCAAGGAGAAGTTGTTGTTGAGATTAAAAAAGCCAATATGTATAATGGATGTTTTCATTTTTTCTAATTTAGTGATTAATTCAACTGCTCAGTACTAATCTATCAAGTTGCCATGCACTGTCTTCCTGCTGGTATATAGCCTACAGTTGGTTTTGTTCCATATTTCAACATAATGTTTGTGTAATTATTTAACACTAATGTTAAATTTTATGGAAGCATCAAAGTATCATCTTTGCTAAAGCGTGAAGAATATAAACATATTAGCAAAAACAACAACAACAAAAAGCAATAATCTTTTGAAACTACACTACATAGTATACTGCTTACTATCATTGCTAAAATCTGTCTTATCGAGAATTCTTAAAATTATTATTATTTTTATTTTGTTTATTATTTTTAAAAATATTTTATTGGGGAATTGGGGGAGGGGAACAGCCAAGTTCTTGTCCTTCAGTCTTAGTTGTGGAGGGCGCAGCTAGCTCAGGTTTAAGTCCATTCTCCATCAGGCCGACTGTTGGCAGCTTGTGGCCGCTCAGCTCAGGTGCAACTCCCTGGCCCATGTGGGAATCGAACCATGCTCTTAACCAACTGAGCCACTCGGCTAGCCTGAAATTGTTAAAATTATTAAAGTTTCCAGTGTCTAGACTTCAAATTTATTTCAGTTGCCCATTTTCAGAAGGTAGTTTGGTGAAAGCTTGCTGTTCATTCATTCATTTCATGTTTTCTTTCTCAACATTTATTGAATACCTATTAAGCCAGAAATTTTGTTAGATGAAAAAAGGTAAAAGAATGGAAAAAGAAAAGAAGGACCCCATTCACTGGAATAGTTTCTGTGGTATATATAGGTTGCCATCTGTTCTCATGGATTTTGAGAGCCTTTCCTTCCCTAGAGTTCTATTAATTTATGCTTAAAGCTGATATCCTACAAAGGGAATTGATCCAATTTTCCTAAACTATTTGTTCTGGGAAGTGGCAGTTAGTTTCTGAATGGAGTTGTATGACTACCAGATATTTTAGCTTTCTTCTTCCTACACTTTTACACAGTTCAGGGTTTACCCTATTTTAAGTTATCATAGGCAAGGAAATATTTTTTTTTTGGATATATTGACTTTATTCTTAATAATTTTTTGTTATTCATGTAAATTATTTGAGGGCAAAAATGGCTGTACGCCTTGCTCCTAGAGAAGTAAATAGAGAAAAATTAGGCACACTAATACATATGTTTATTTTTATTGCAATATTAATTCTTATTTCATGAATATACTCATTCAAATAAATCATACAAAAAGACAGTTTTGTAATTCAACTTCTTTAAATGCTTTAAAACTCAGGAATTTTCTGTATCTCTCTAGAGATTAGCATATTTGGTGGGACTGGGGGCTTGGGAGAGTGAGTCATGACTACTTAGAAAAATCAGATGGTTTAAACATTATTAAAATTTGGAGAATTAAAACAATATTGATTCAAGTAGATTATACAATAGCTTCACATTTATTTTACTACAAAAGTTTACTTACGGATTTTTTTCATTTAAAAGCATCTCGTAATAGATTAAATACTCACTTGGCTCTCAGTGTTTATATAACATTACATCTACCACTCTTGAAATGCACTATTTGAAATGCAGAAGCTCTGTAAATATAAAATAGCTGCCTAATCAAGTTTTCATATTACTATCAAACTATTTTTGAAATCAGGTGTCAAAACTAAAAGTGCAAGAAAATTTTTTGAGACAGACTGTCTGTTAGCTTCCTCCAGAATGGCAGATTCTTTCCTCCCAGAAAATTACTTTCTTTTCCCTTCCTCAAATAATAATAGGCAAAATATATTCAATTCAAATTGACGTTTTCTCAGATATACTTTAGTTACTTAGACACCTGAGAACTTCAGATTTTGGAAGCTATAAAAAGTAACCCATCTCTTTTTATGGATTTAAAATAGTCCTGCTACAGAGTTTGGCTCATGGTAGAAGACTTTATCATTCCTTATAGAATCATCAAGCTATCAGATGCTGGAATGATATATCTTTATCGTTTTAATTTCTATCACTCATGAATATTAATTTAAATAATTTCTGTAAGGAAATGTGGACTTCTTGTATAGTTATTTCAGAGACTGTCTCATTTGATGAAATTTATAAAGTCGTACTGTAAATACAGAGTATTTTGAATGAAGAGCTTGGAATCTCCCTATTTCTTTCTTTATAATGTGAGAATAATGGTATCTAAATCTATACTGTTTTCAGCAGAAAATGAGATAATAGGTTATCTTAGTATTTTGCCTAACACATAGTAGGCACTTATAAATGTAAGTTTTTATTCTAATAAGATGATTGGTAGTTCATCAGGGCTGGAGCCAAGTAGAGATGGTTCCATCTGATAAAATGTTGATAAAACTTAGTATTGATAAAGAAAAAGAGACCACATGTATAACGCAGTATAGTTATATATGTCAATATTATGAAAAGAGTGGTATAATTTTTCATTGCTTTTAAATGAAAATGCCTGTCTGCATAGTATGGAACTTAAAAAACATGTAGAGATGCTGAATAGCAATATTAATTATTTTTAAAAGATTTCTGGTTCAGGTGAAGGCTAAAAATGGAGTTGACAGGACACTGTTTAATTCTGTTTTGTGAGTAGATGACAGAAAATTGAAAAGTGACCAACTTTTTGGTGGCCAGTGAAATGACACAGACTAAAAGAAAAAGATGGCCTTTTAAATTGAGAAAACCGTTTTTTTATGGTACATTAAGCATTAATCAGTCAGAAATCCAGGATATTTTACTGGGTATAGCTAATGACAGGTGTTATTTTATTTTCACAAAATGTATCTTTTATAAAGATCATAAATAAAGCATGAATTTTAAACCTAATATATGCTACAAAGAAGGACATGTGATTAGTCCAGTAAGGTAAACAAGAAAATTTACACCTTAGCCTTTTTATTTTTCATTATTCTACAATTCTATGTATCAAAGCTGAGCAATGCTCACTGCAATCCAAAATGTATCTTATGTCAAATCTCTTATTTCTATTGCCATAAGAATCTACTGAAACCAGTAATTTGTTCATTTCAAAGGCTTCCTTGGTTTAAAAGTTTCTAAATGAACGCTATAAAGCACACACTGCTCTAGTAAAGACTGTCTTAAAACAAAAATTTATTCTGGTCACTTTTATTCTGACTGTTTCCAATTAGAACAGATGTATGTTATAAAAATATTTCATTTTTGTTGCTTCTTCATCCATGATTGAGTCTAATCATAAAATTTAAGTCTGGAGTTGGGAGGGAAGGGAGAAAGAAGTATAAAATGTGTTTCTTTGAGTCTGGCAAACACTCATATGCAAAATAACTTTAATTTGGGTAATGAGCACCCTCACTCATCCTGGTTCACACTGTTAACCAACAGTTTTTCATCTTTATATTATGACCACAATTATATACTAACTTATTTATTCAACATTTAATAAGCACATTTAAATAGATTCTTAACCCAGAGAAATGTATGGGTTAACACCAATAGTTCTAAGAAATGATTGGGAAAAGTCTTAAAAAAAACATCTCCTCTTGCTCTCTCTACCTGCCTTATGTAAGAGCCTCATTTTTCATTGCTAAGAAAAACATATATTATTCTTACATTGCAACTATATTCCTAGGTACCAAAGTACGTTGAAAGCCATTAATGAATAGTAAATTAAAATAACATCTTGTTTTCTGACTTTTTTGATGTTTAGGCAACACATTTTTTCTAAAGTGTTCAACATAATAAATTATAAGCTTATTGATAAAGTGTATTTAAATCAATTGCTCCATTTGAAATTATTTAGGCATTCATGGATATAGTTTAAGCACAGACAGCAAATACAAATGAGTTCCTTATTTTAATGAATATATGTTGTTGTTTTCATTTGGATGTGGGCTCAGCATTAAACAAATGTATTACAGTAAGAGAATCCCTTAGCATTTCTAGATAACAGCTTATTAATAGTTTTGGTTTTCTGTTACTCTATTAAAGCATTTCTAATTCTTCCATTTCTTATCTTATAGGAAATAAATGATGTGGATGTACAGGAACTTGTAAGAAGGTCAATTGGAAGGTTAACTATCATTCGACAGACATTTCCAGTTCCCCAGAATATAAGTCAGCGATGTTTCCGTGGCAACCATCGAATATCTTCAACACTGTGTGATCCAAAGGATCCTTTTGCTCAGAATATGGAGGTATATTCTAAGTCAGGGTGTTTGTTCCAATGGTTGTTTTGTTGAGCAATTGTAAAGAGGGGTTTTTGAGTTTCACTGGATTTAGAATTATACACGTTTGCAATTTTTGAACTATTCTTTTCCTCCAGCGATTTATTAATTCTGATGGGAAGAATGCTAAGAATCTGTGTCTTTGATCCTTTTAAACTCATTATAGCAAAATATCTACTTTTTTAATAGTAACATAATAACTAAAGGTTATTGTCTTCTCAGCAAGTAGGTAGATCTATAGCATTTCTCACAGTAGAATTTGTGATTGATACCCCTTAATGCCAAACTCCAAATTATTAAGCTAATAAAGTTGTTTGACATTTTTGGCATAACAAGGACATAGATTTTTTTCTTTTTTCCTTTTTTTTTAAGATTAGTCTCCATTGTGAAGGATCTGACCAAAACACTATTTAGAAATGCAACAAATGCTGTGGTATTTTGTAGTCATATCCAACTCATATGGGATATAGCTGTAACCTTCACTATTCAGAATACAACAAAGAATCTGAAAGTAAATAAATAAAACCTTGGAGCAGCAAAATAGAGAAACATCAAGTCCCTGCAACTTACTCATAAAAATGCCCTTTAAATACTCACCCAGAGCCTATTTCTTTCTCTTAAGGAAAAGCCTGTCCCGTTTGTGTTGTTGTTGTTCTCTTTGCCCTGGAGAACTCAATATGTCAAATTGAAGGTGGTGTTGCAAAAAGCAGGCACGTGGACAACAGTAACAAGCTATAAGGAGCACTCTAGGAAAGCAAAAGGCGGGAAAAAGAAATCAATCCGATGCACTAATTCGAATATCCTATCAGTGAAGGACTGTTCCTATAAAAACAACTCTGTGTCATAAAGTAGTTTCTAAGGGTATCACTGTAGTATACTGCTAGCATATTAGTATTGAAACTGTAACTCTGAGAAATCAACGAAGATTAAAGTCATGGTCAATTTCAGAAGTCAGAAAAATATGTGATATGTTTTAGAAAATGATTCCTTCAAAATATTTAATGTCAAAAGCATCGTAGTACTTAGAGATGTTCGGTTTGAACATTTTGGAAATACAACCCTATGAAAGCTAGTTCAACTACAATAATACTAGATAAATAAGGTGATTTTGCCAAACTACTTTTCTTGAATGATATCTCCATAGTCTCCTTATCTTTAGTGAGTTTTGATTTTTCTTTTTAGATGAATCATTACTTGTCTATCTGTTTCTTTATATGTATCACCATTGTGGTGAGCCTCATATATTTACTAGGTTAGCTGGCTTTGGGATCATTTGCTGGCTTTGGGAACTTGCTGTTTCTTACTATATTTTAATCTCTTTTAGACTAGGTTCCCTCCAGGACATGGCATTATAAAGTACTAGTCTATCTTTATTTCCCCCATTATACCTACCACAGTGCTTTATACCCTTGTGAATATTTGTGGATTTGAATGTAATTAAGGAGAAGACAATGATCAAAATAAGCCACTCTGAAGCCTAAACAAGACCTGTTTAAATTTTAATGCCAATCTTACCTATATGCTTATAACAACCCAGCTTTTCTTTCTTTTTCTTTCTTTCTTTCTTTTTCTTTCTTTCTTTCTTTCTTTTTCTTTCTTTCTTTCTTTCTTTCTTTCTTTCTTTTCTTTCTTTCTTTCTTTCTTTCTTTCTTTCTTTCTTTCTTTTTCTTTCTTTCTTTCTTTCTTTCTTTCTTTCTTTCTTTCTTTCTTTCTTTCTTTCTTTCTTTCTTTTTTTCTTAATTTAGAGGGTTTTTTTTTCTTTTTCTTTCTTTTTTTATTATTAGTTTCAGGCATACAAGATAACATGAGGATCAGACATTTACACGCCTCACAAAATGATAATCCCAGCAAGTCTAGCACCCACTAAAAAGAGCATTTGATATAGAGGCTTATGTTGGTGAAAATTTTATCTCACTGAAGTTTAAAAAAGCAACGAAAAAAAAAATTGACTGAAATTTGGGGAGTAGGTGGTTCCCTAGGAGAAGTAACCCTCTCATCTTGGAGCACAAAAAAAAAAAAAAAAAAAAAAAAGCAGGTAAATATGATCACAGACAGATTTTTATCAGCAGGGTACAATTAAAAATTAGTCAGAAAAAATAAAGGTTTAAAAATATGACTGAAGTGAGCTCTAAAAATGGAAACCCAACTATAAATTCCCAATAAGCAATACAACAGAGGAGAAAAGGGTGCAATGGGCTTGTGTAGAGATATCTGGGCTGTTGCATATTGTAATATACATAGAATGGGAATTAAGATTTAGAAAGAACAGAAATACAAGTTTCCCAAATCTGTAAATTAGTGACAGAAATGCTAAAATCCAGGATTAGCTGAAGTTGTGCAATAAATGTTAAAGAAGCTTTAATCCAAACCAGAATGTTTAGCAATATATGAAGTGGGAAGGAAGATAGCGCCTCACTGCTTGGAGAAACGAATGTTAGCTTGGAGCTAATGGGGAGAAAACAGAAACATTCAAATCCTTTTGATTCTGTTTTCACCATCTAAGAAAAATGGTCTTCAAATTGGAAAATCATTAAAAGAAAAGTAACCACTGCTTTTAGAGGGAGCAAGAGTTTGGAGTTAGTAAGAGTATGCCTTACTGCTTTAAAATGAGGTTTGAAAAATAATTTCTCAAAGCAGTAAATAAACCAGTGGATATGATCACATTATTATAATTTAGAACTACAGCAATACTTGGGAAGAGGATTCAGGTATGAGATATTGGTATAGTGTCTCCATTTTAAAGAGTAAGGTGAAAAGTTTGTGACAACCAGCTTAATAGACTAAAAATTCATATCTATATAAACTGTAGAATATATTATTAAATATTTGATTTGGGGAATTTCTAATAAGATCGTAGGACTTCCTAAAGAACAAGCACTGCTAAACTAAGTCCTACTCAATATTTTCTTAGGTTGTGAGACTGTCATAAATCTATTATATATTCATTTTTATGTAGTGTTTGACCAATTTCTTATAAAGCCTATGGGGAGACATTAAAAAAAGTCTAGATAGATTGATGTTAGTCAAACATTTTGACCAAAGGACTCCTAAAAACAGAAGACAGTAAACACTCTAGCCTCAGATATATATTTTTTTTAAGTTCAAAATACGTTAAATTTCATTATTACGTTAAAAGTTACAACATAAGAGCTTCTTTAAAATTAAAAGTGATTTTCAAATAATTTGCCAACTAAATTACTTAGCTTTTTCTTTTCTCCAAATCTTGAAGGAAAACCAATATGCCTAGGACATGGCTCACATATGTCCTGTGGCTGCAAATGCTTTCTGTTACTATAATTTACCACCACTTCTGTGACCCTACATTTGAGAAGTGTGGAACTAGAGGACTATTCAAACCACACTGATAAATATTCTACTCTTGAAGTACAAGGAACTCTCTCTGGTCATCCAGTAGATTCTGTTCTTGGACCTATTATTTTTTAAATGTTTATCACTATCTGAGTGAAAATGAATAAAATATGCCTGTCATATTTGTAAATGAGTTAAAGCTAGGAAAGTTTTGTTGTGTAACATAATCAAGATCCAAATTGTTAAAATTACTGAATAATAAGTGTAAAAGTTGAAATTCCACAGAGATAAAGAATAGGTTTAAAATCAATTACAGGATGTCTAGAGTCATGAGACCTGGTTTGCCAGCTGTTTAAGGCTATTAAGGTGTAGGTAGATTTGGTATGATATAGCATGACTCATATGTGCTCTCAAAACCATCCTAATGTAATCTCAGTCCCCATGTCAAATTCATTTTGCTAAAATCAAGAGAGATAGACCTTATGTCTCTCCTAGATGGATCGTATCTGCAACAATGTGTTAGTCCTGAGTATTCAACTTTGAACAGAAACATTGAAAAATAAGAGAACAGAGGAAGAGAGCTGAGATGATAAAACAAGGTAGAAATTATACCAGTTGATGAACAACTAAAAGAAAAATGATGTTTCAGGGAAAGTAATTGATGTTGTCAAACGTTGGGAGGTTGTCTTGTAAAGGAGGTGGGTGCTGGTTCAGTGAGGTCAGAAAACCAGTGTAGTGACAGTAAGGTAGAGAGAAATTTTTGGTTAGATGGTGGGACGCTGGAGTTTAAGATGTTAAAGGAGGTGTGTGTTTGTGTCCAGTGAATAGTCACTTGTGTTGGTTGTGGCCAAAATAGCAGTAAAGATCCTGTGTGTAGAAATCAAAATGACCTTTTTAATGCTGGGAGATACTTTGGGATCACAGTGAGGTGGGAGTAAAAAACGAACGGGTGACCAAGAGGTTAGTAGATGATGGCAGGAAGGGGCTGTGAATGTGGCACAGCAAAGAGTGTGGACCTCAAAAGAGAACAGGCACTTGCCTGAAAAAGAAATAATGAAAAGGGTAATAAAAAGCTCAAAGAAATGTCATCACCTCCTTTTGATCCTGAAGTTAGGAATGTGGGCAAATGAGGAGAGACAGTTATTTGATGAAAGCACCTGCCACATATTGAACACAAAGCACTCACCTTTAAGACCAGAACGCATGCTCAATGTACACACTTCACAAGGTGAACAAAAGACTGTACTACAAAAGTGTCAGGTGTGCATGGACCAAGTTGTCAAGTTTCTCATGTCTTGGATTCTATCAAATCTACCTGAAATTAAACTTGACTTTCTTTTATTTTCTTTGTCTATTTTTTTTATTTAACAACTATTAGGTTGTCGGAAAAGTCACGATGTATTTTTTCTATGTTTTTCATTGCAAAAATGCGTCATGACTTTTCCGACAACTCAGTATATCAAAACAAAACAAAACAAGTACTATGTCCTAGGCTCTAGGCTAAGTCAGGGGGAAATAAACAATAAGAGAAACAAAAGTACAAAGGGGAAAGTATGTACACCCTGAGCCTCTGTCCAGAAGGAACTCATAGTCTAATGTAAAAGGCATATTTGAGGGAAATCTGAGCATTATGACATATTTCAATAGAGGTATGCACTGAGTGTTATGGGAGATGAAATGAGGACTGCCCAGTTAGTCTGGGAGTGGGGACAGTCCTGAGAAGTTGTCAGGGTAGGATTTAGCTAGCTCCATCCCTAGGAATTAAGTATTAGAGAAAGTTAACCATTTGGAGAAAGATAAAGAGACATCAAAGAGTGCTTTGATGTCATATACACACTTCAAGCAATCAGCCAGAGGGAAGAGCAAAATAAAGCTAGAAAGATAAGAGCAAGTAAATCTGAGGCAGTGGAGCCAGAAGAGTTTAGAAAAGGCCAGATTATTGCAGATTATTGAGAAGTCATCAAAAGGTTTGCTCTGGATTTTTGGATACAGCCCATTCATCCTTCATGTTTCTTCCAGGTTTTCCTTTTCGGTCTTCACAGTCTAATACAGATTGGGTTTTGAGTCAATGACTGCTTTATCTTCAAGTCCCACTCTTCCTTCATTGCATATTACTGCCTTTCCCCCAGCCTCCACTTTTTGTAGTAATTATCTGGCAGGGGGAAAGGGAGGAGGGGGTGGGGGAGGATAGCCTGCCCTCAAATTTCCTTATAAAGAGCAAACACAGTGTATAAGAGTGTTCAATGTATCTTTAAAGAGAGCTCTGCCTCCTGTAAGTATTATACATACAAAATAATGCTTAACACAAATAATTAAAGATTTACTGAGTAATGAAAGAAAACACACAAGGCACTATTAGGAAGCACTTAACAGTTGTTCATAGCATCAAACTCATTATCTTAACAGTTGAACTTAGTACCATTCTGTGAGGTGGGAAGACAATTTCATAAGACTCCTACATGATTAATTATAAATAAAGGACAGTAAATATACTGTCTCCTTTGTTTTCAGGAAAAAGCTATATTAAGACTCTTTAAAATAACTGAGAGAATTTAAATGATGTAAGATGGGTTCATTTTTTTAGAGTTACTTTGATTTATCAGTTTTTTAATTTTATGTTAGATTTTTCCTTCAGAGAGCTTATAATATAACATTTTACAGATATTATTGACCTTGAATATCTACAGGCATTTGTATTTTCTAAGTATTCTAATTTGTTTCAAAATAAACACCTTCAGTAACTGGTAGTATGGAAAGTAGTTCTGGCAAGAGTTAAATGTAAGAGTTCAGTAGCCCTTAGCAAATATTTCTATAATTCCTTTTTCAGTCTGTATGGAAGGAAGATAATAACATGGTTACCTTAGAAGAAGAAAGCTTTAATATAAACACACTTTCAAAAATTAATTATTTATGATATTTGTCATGGTAATGAATTGCAATGCATGTGTATGCCTATATAATTTGTATAGATTCTTAATCATGATAATGTTTATGAATGGTGCTGTTTCCTCATTTTTTTTTCATTACTGAATCCCCATAGGCAAACAGATGGCAGCTTCCCTATTCTTTTACATTCTTTGATACCTATGACACTCATCTATATGTAAGATTGAGTTGATATTTCTCCATCGGAATAACCAAAATGCAAAAACTTGATATTCAGAATATGTATTATTCAGTTTGTTCTTCTAATCTTAAGCCCTTCGATCCTTACCTCCTCAAAATGAAATAAGGGCCAGTGATTTTCTAAGGACTGACACTAACAGCCTTGCCTCTGTCGAAACTTCTCTTTTTTATCTTCTCTTTCACACCTAAATAAGCTGAAAAAGCAATCGAAGCATATAATCAGACAAGACTTCACTCTCAATAGCAAAATTGCCCGGGAAATGAAAAAAGAAACCTGCTTAATAAATAACCCAGTAAACCGACTTTCTACGACCTGAACAGAAGCAACTGAGCCAATGATTTTTTTCCATATTCTTGATGGTTGCCATCAGTGATCCTAATGGTTACTGTCTAATGTCTTTTCAGATTTCAAACCTTTACATATATGACACGGTGCTTCTGCTTGCTAATGCTTTTCATAAGAAACTGGAGGACCGGAAGTGGCACAGCATGGCAAGTTTGTCCTGTATCAGAAAGAACTCCAAGCCCTGGCAGGGCGGGCGTTCCATGCTGGAGACCATCAAGAAGGTAACTTCTGACTAGTATTTCATTCTTCCTCATTTTCTGTAAAGATAAACAATTGATGAGATATCTTTTAGGAGGATTTGCTCTCTTGGTATTGAATGTCAATTCAAAGCACAGAATAGTGTAATGGATAAATGAAATATTAAAAATAAAAGGTCAGAAAGTCACGCACATATACAAATCTGGTAGTCCTTATTTATTTGTAAGGGAATTTTACGCAAGTAAAATGTGAGTGGTTGAAATATTTTTAAATTGCCTTGATCATATCATTAGAGTTAGAGATGCTCAAATTATTTTGGTGCTTGTCACAAAGTACAAAAGAATTTTTTTTTTCCTTACCCTATGCTATTAGCTGAAGAATGAGTACTAGATGTAGCTGTTTTTCATTTAGATGATACATGGTAAGACATTGGATGTGATGATCTTTAATTTATCTTATATTAAAGGTATAATTAATAAACAGTTAATATTTTGCAGCATTTGTGAATTATGTGGGTACTTGATGGCATTCACTTCTTCACTGTCAGTATGGCCATTAGCCTGGCCATGACCTGCTTAGGCTTAGCTACCTGTTTCACACCCAGGAGGCAGTTTATGGTGTTCAGCTCCTCACAACGGCATAAGCATTCTGCAGTTTATTAGCCTCTTTGTCATGTCATCTTTGCTGGCATTTTCCATTTGTCTCACACAGCTTCTTGGATTTAAAGTGAAATGATTAATAAAACAAACAAATTTCTCCTGTACCTTATAAACAAAGGAGACAGCCCTTTGAAAGTGTCTATTCTTTATTTACCTATCCTTTTTCTTTCTGCATGTGTTTGCCTTTCTCTCCAGAAACAAAAAGAGAGATAACTAGTCAAATGAAATTTGAAGTATTTAGAAAAATCCAGAGAAAAATTTAAAATTTTAGCATTAGAAGTGCACTAGATGTGCAAAAAGCAGAAAGTGGAAGAACATTTCAAATGAAGACTCGCCTGGATCTTTCTCTCAGTACTGCTTCCTTTTTTACAAAAGAATCACTTTCATGAGAATTTAGGTACTTATCAGCAGAAGTGCTTGAGAATTAAATGTATTGAATATATTGGCAGAGAAAGATTTTCCAACAGAAAAAATGTTTGTCAAATTAATCTAAAGGCGTTGCCCAAAAATCCTTAACTATGTAGAGAGTTGGCAGGTATGGATCCAAGGCAGGTTGTTGAACATGAGCCTGACCTTGCCAATTTATTAATTCGTGGCTTGGCTAGGAAGCAGAGCCTGAAGACGTTCATTCTTCTGGAGCTGCCTCACAAAGACAGAATAATAGTTTGGGAGTTTGCTTACATGACACTTATAGTGAGAGAATCAGTGGGAAGAAAAGAGAGATATTATAATATGTAGGTATTTCTCTTAGAGCAATTTGTTCTGTAAAATGTTGCTATTAGAAAATTTATAATCAAAACAAAGATATAATACAATAATTATGAAAATTTATTTTGTAGGAATATTTGCATATTTGTCCCTGTAAGCTTTCAGCCAGTACACTTTTTTTGATTGCTTGATTGATTATATTTTAAGTATTTTTAAAAATTTTTCAAGCACAGCTGATGTATATTATATTAGTTTCAAGTGTACAACATAGTGATTAGACATTTGTATAACTTACGAAGAGAAAACCCCAATAAATCTACTACCCATCTGACATTATAAATAGTTGTTACAATATTATTGACTATATTCCTTATGCTATACCCTACATCCCCATGACTACTGTGTAACAACCAATTTGTACTCCTGAATCTCTTCCGCTTTTTCACCTACCCCCCACCCCAATCTCCTCCATCTGGCAACCATCCAAATGTTCTCTGTGTCTATGAGTTTGTTTATTTTTTTCTTTACATTACACATATAGTTTATTTTGTTCTTACATTACACATATAGCATTTGTCTTTCTCTGTCTGACTTAGCACAATACCCTCTAGGTCCATCCATGTTGTTGCAGATGGCAAGATTTCATTCTTTTTTGTGCATGAGTAATATTCCATTATATATATATATCCACCTTTTCTTTATCCATTCATCCATTGATAGACACTCAGGCTGCCTCTATATCTTGACTATTTTAAATAATGCTGCAGTGAACATAAGGATACACATGTCCCTTCAAAATTGTGTTTTGGGTTTCTTCAAATAAATACCCAGAGGTGGGATTATTAGGTCCACTTTTTTGTCTCTTGTTATAGCCTTTGTTTTAAAGTCTATTTTGTCTGGTATAAGTATTGGTACTCCAGCTTTTTTGTTGTTGTTGTTTGTTTCCAATTCCATGAAATATCTTTTCCCATCCATTTGCTTTCAGTCTGTGTGTATCTTTTGATCTGAAGTGAGTCTCTTGTGGGTAGCATTTGTAAGGGACTTGTTTCCTTATCTATTCAGCCACTCTGTCTCATTTGATTGGAGCATTTAATCTATTTATATTTAAAATGATTATTGATAGATATGTAGTTATTGCCATTCTATTCGTGTTTTTTGTTTTCTTCTTTTTCTTCTTCTTAAAGGAATTCCATTAACATTTATGTAACACTGGTTTGGTGGTAGTGAACTCTTTTAGCTTTTTCTTGTCTGGGAAGGTCTTTATCTGTCCTTCAAGTCTAAATGATAGCTTTGCTGGATAGAGTAATCTTGGTTGAAGGTCCTTGCTTTTCATCACTTTGAATATTTTCTGCCAATCCTTTCTGGCCTGCAGTTTCTGTTGAGAAATCAGCTGACAATTTTATGTGAGCTCCTTATAAGTAACTAATTGGTTTTCTCTTGCTGCTTTTAAATTTTTCTCTTTGTTTTTTTACCTTTGGCATTTTATTATAATGTATCTTGGTTCCTCTTTGGATTAATTTTATTTAGGACTCTCTGCACTTCCTGGGCTTGTATATCTATTTCCTTCGCCAGGTTAGGGATGTTTTTCATCATTCTTTCTTCTTTTTTTTACTTTTTAAAATTTTTTTATTGGGTAACAACATGTTTTTT